TATTGTACATACTATTAAAGTTTACTTCATTTCAACATTCTGCATTTGTCGTGCCCATTCGTTCAAGATTAAACTTCACATATTACACACATTAATAATAACCTTATCTACTAAAAGGTTAATAAAACACTGATTAAAGTTGCAAGGTTACATTTTGACACCTCAAGATATAAGACATCCAACATATTATTTGTGAATATGGTTGCCCCCTTTTTATACGAATGTCTTTTGAATTGTCTGTGTAAGTTCTCTGTTTCTTTGTCTGTAACAGGAGAACCGCGCGCTTTTTCTGGAAGGTAGTAAAAGGATGTGTCCCTTTTGGAATGCAGGGAGAAAGAGGGGAGATGTCCTGAGGTCATGACACTGTCACGGGTGGAGATCTGCCATTCTTCTAGCTCGGACATGGGGCTATTAATCTGTCGCTTTCTGTTTATCGGATTTAGCAATTTATGTGTTAAATGGTCATGGGTATCACGCATCTGGTCCTTGAAAGCCCGTAAAACAAAGATAGTTTGTATCCTAGTTTGAGTTAGGGTTTAAGCAGTTCAGATCCCCCCTAAGGGATAAGGACCAGGCCTTGACCGGAAGCAGGTCCAGACAATTAGGTGCCCTGTTGATCATTGATCTTCTTTACGACCGTAGATAGCTGGGGAGGAGAGTCCTTAGTTTTTCCGGTGGAATGCGGAGATTCAATCGTTCATTTGTGCGATATTCGCAGAGGCCTTACAGGTGATTGGTCCGATTGTCCTGTAATGCCTGATAAAGCAGTGTTTGTAAGAGCAGTGCTGCTTTGTGTACGGCGTTACCGGGGAAACAGCTATTTTTACCGCTCCAAAAGTGACACCTAGTGGCAAAGAATGGCTTTGCATTTTCATTCAGACCAACGCGAAAAGAACAACAAGTGGGTGGGCAATATGCTAATGTTTCATGTTGACATCAACATGAAACTGCTTGGGACTCGTTTTAAAAACGACTCGTTTCAATGATTCAGAGTCAACTCTTTCTTGCGGTGCACTTTGAAATTTAAAACTTTGCAGGATGTTTTCATTCACTTAGAGCTGTGTTACACACTGCATGAAAGGTAATTTTCAAAAATCCATAATAGGGGCACTTTAAAACACTTTTAAAAAGTTTGCAAGCTGGCTAAATGATGCCCGTGTTAATTTTTTTTATCAAGTACTGTGCATTTTTTTACTTGACATTTAAGTACAGTACAGTTTTTATTTAACTTTTAGGTACAGTACATTTTAATTTAATCGTTTAAGTTTTTTTTTACCTGTACGTAAAAAACTGTATTTACAATGTTTAAAGTGGCCGACAATAATAAATATTCTTATTAGGAATAAAACTGCCTCATTTTTGAACTGTGCATAGCTGTAGCTGAATAATTAGGCCTACTACGCTACTGTATTTTAATGTTGGTCATTATGGTGGTACATGCAGAGCCAAATATTTTCTGAGGTGGTACTTGGTGTAAAAAGTTTGAGAACCACTGTTCTAATCAATCTCACAAAATGTTTATTGGTATCTAATATTAGCCCATATCTATTCAAAATATAAATAAATTGGTTATAAATAAACCATTTCAATATCTGTGCATATGATGAGCGTGTTATGGAGCATGATTTGAGAATATTTCAAAATGATCACATGGTCAATGTAACAAATCTGCTTAATTGATTAAATAGGGCAGAATCTGAAATATTTCTTGTACATTTCACAATCTTATAAATTCCTTCAAAATTCTAGCTTTACGTTTATTTACAGGTATAAATGCAGAAAATCCCATTTTTTAAATGTGGACACTGTGTATTATGAAATGGGTGAACATATAACGTACCCCCTCTGTAAACCAGCAGAATAACCTCCCCCTTTTTAGTGTGTTCTTGCAAAATCCTTTGGACCTTGAATCAAAGTACACCAAATAAATATACAATAATAATAAAAGTACACCATAACAAAAATCTTAAGTTGAATACCATTCTCTTCATCCCTACCTGTGCAAAGCTGAGACTCTGTACATCTGCTCCATTGATCTTCACAATGGCATCTCCAGGCTGCAGTCCGGTACACTGTCTGTGGTCCCAAACTTTCTTCACGAGGGTCTGTCTTCCTCCGTGACCTCCTGCCGTGACACTGAACCCCATATTGCTGCCCCTCTCACATTTAGCCAAAACAACGGGGACTAATTCCCCACTACCCGCCATTCCTCCAACTCCACTCCCGATCACAGCGCTCATGGCTCCAGGTGAAGGAATGCTGCTGTTCGGGCTGCCACTGCTGGCACTGGCTGTGCCGTTGAAGGTGAAGTAAGGCCCGTCAGAATGGGCGCTGCTAGGTGGGGTTAGTAGTGAATGCTGGGGTTTACGGAGATGAGAGTAGCGCCTTCCTCCTCCAGGAGAGAAAGAGATAGGGCCTGGACTTACATCAATGTGGGGCAGGGGCAATCGAGATATGGGTGGTGGAGTACTCGAGGAAAGGTCACTCTCAGAAGATTTGAAGGAGTGCAGGCGGAGAGGTGGTGGAGTGGACAGAGAGTTGTTGTTGTGGTTACGGATAAACGAGGCCCTGTGAAGATGAAAAGAGAAAGACCTTGATATATCATAATCAGGGTTGAGGAGGGACGGAATATAACTTAACGTATTTAAAAATAGAAAATATAAGTAACTGTAGTCAGTTACGTTTACAACTTAAACATTGGTAAACAGAAACAGTTTAATTCAAAAAGAATTTTGATTGAACAGCACAGAAACACTCTTATGAAGCAGACAGAGGGCGCTGTTAACAATAAAAGTCATTGAAGACTGATAACATACAGAAGTAATGAATCATGAATCCAATAAAAAACAAAATTATGACAATATTTGGTTTGTCTATTTCTTACAAAAATTAACCATATTTTTGCTACAAATAAAACCAAAAAGCCATGGTTACTACAGTTAAAATTAACCATGGTTTTGCTACACTAACCATAGTTTAACCATGGAATTTAGTAAAAAAAAATTAAATTGTGGTTACACAAATGGTAATCAATATGCCAGAAACCATGGTTACTACACTTTTACTACAACAAAAACATTGTACTTTTTGTAAGGGAAGTTCTTCATGTGGTACTTTTCAAGAAAAAAAAGATGCTTTAGCCTTTAGCATTGCAAAGACAGCTACAAATAATGTATTTTCTGCCTCATTCCATGAAAAAAAATTCACCTATGATTAGTAAAAAGTCTTTTTATACACTTAGCAGGGTCTTGAAGTAAATTTTGAGTGGCAGAAATAGTTTTAACTAGAGTAAATTGTCATGTCAACATTTAGCTTTAGGCTAAGCTAAAATGTTAGCACCTGTTAGCAGGCACTATTACATTTTAAGATGAAGTCTATCAAGGAATTCCATTTCAGATTATATCCACTATAATGTTTGCGGGTCAGTAAAATACTTTTATTATGAAAGGCTTATTAAATTGATCAAAAGTGACAGTAAATGCTGTTCTTTTGAACTTTCTATTCATCAATGAACCATGAAAAACTGTATGTAAAGATGTTCACACAAATATTAGCAGAACAACCGTTTTCATCACAGTAATAATAAATATTTATTGAGCACCAAATCAGCAGATTAGAATGATTTCTGAAGGATCATGAGGCACTGAAGACTGGAGTAATGATGCTGAAAATTTAGATGCATCACAAGAGTACATTACACTTTAAAATATATTCAAATAGTAAATTATGATTTAACATTGCAATAATATTTCACAATATGACTGTTTTTACTGTATTTTTATTAAATAAAAACAGCCTTGGTGAGTAAAAACATTAAAAAAAAATCTTGCTGACCCCAAACTTGAACAGTAGTGTATGATGAAGGGTAATAATCCCCCCCAAAATTGTATTTGTAATGAAGAAAGCAAATATTTTCACTTTTAAACAACACGGGCAGATTTTTCCACTTGTACGAAGAAGTAATCTAATGAAATATGTTACAAATGACATTTTACAGCAAGTATTCTGTGTAAACTGTAGTGAAATACTGTACATTTTTAACGTAACTCTCCCAATCCTAAACATAGCAGTGACAATCATATATAAAATGCTCTCACCTATGGGATCCAATCGCAGACACCACCTCGCTGTCACTCTGGCTGGCCAGTTCTGCACTCTGTAACCTTCTGATACTTCGGGCAGAGCGTGGTGGTCTCAGGAACCCACTCCCATACCCGTTAGAGTACTGGTATGATGATGGCTGTCTTGAAGGAGAAGCAAATGGAGATGAATTACCATTAGCATCCAAACTGAACCTTGATGCCCGTACTCTGAGATTCCTTGAGGATCCCCTCTCAAAATCAGACCACATGGGCCCGTTGTGGTTGAGGTGTAGCTGAGCGTATGGGAGAGGAGCCTGGGCCTGGGGTTGGGTGGTGGTTGGTGGAGGTAAATGTAGTGACTGGTCTAGGGATGCCGTTAGCCTAGGATTAGGCATCTTCGGACAGCCATCAGAGTTATAGAGCATGGGGTAGCCTCTTCGGACAACAACGTCCACAGTGTGACCCACCGGAATGGCTTTCAACATTTCCACTACCTCTTTGTGAGAAAAGCCAAGCACACAGGTATAATTGATGTACACCAGAATATCCGCTGGAAGAGGCAAGAGATGAAAAGTGTTAAATTGCATTCATTATGAAGGTTTAACCGAAACTATTCAACTAAATAAATCTTACCTTCAATAAACAGATTTTATACACACTACTTTTTAAAGGTTTGGAGTCAATTTTTAATGGTTTTGAAAATAATATATATTTTTTAATATTATTACGATTGAAAGTAATTTTAATATTAAAATTACAATTGAAATTTTTTTAATATTAATATTTGAAATGTGTAGAAATATAATTTATTCCTGTTTTCAGTGTCACATGATCCTTCAGAAATCATTCTAATATGCGGATTTGGTGCTCAAGAAACATTTCTTATTATTATCAATGTGGATTAATTTTACTACACTATTATAGACTTTTGATCATTTGCTGACTAAAAGCATTACTTTCTTTAAAAAAGTATAATATATATATATATATAGTATTTCTATATACAGTATTAATCCATTATCACATGCAAAATGCACTGATCTAAAAATGTACTGTGAAAGAGGTGTGTATTCATAAATGAGCAAAAAGAATTCATAGATGCATGCAGTTGTATGTTAGTATGCATGTCACAATAAAGTGAGAGAGAGCGTGTTCATAATGTCACATTTTTCTTATAAATGTGTGTCGGCACACAGTGATAGCTGGATTACTCCATGCAGGCCATTAGGATTAGAGGGAGCTCGAGACACTCGTTCAACAGAATCACACAATCACAACACTAATCCACGGTGGGACACAAAGAGTAATATGTATAAAGAGAGAGAGCAGCAGTAGCCTATAAAGAACAAAGAAATATCCCCTTATTTGTAAGCACAGTGCTGTACTGCAGTGGGCGGCTGCAGAGAGATGTGGGGTGGGCTGTTACCTATGTGAAGGATGGAAGGTCCTCCGGGAGTGATGCTGTAGATCTGCAGGAACTCCCTCCGCCTGCTGCCTCCCACTATATTGAAGCCGAACCCCCGTGACCCCTTAACCAGACGAGTGTGAACGGAGAAGCCTTTCAGTTCACTCGGCTGGTCTGTAAACTCTGCCACTGCAAAGCAAGAACAAAAAGATGGTGACCAGTTTAAGCATGACAGGTTATTAGGAAAAATGAACCAACCAAGAGTAAAGAAAAGAAGAAATGACTGACATTACATAAGATGGATGGTAAAAGGTGAAGAAAAATATTGCATTTTTCCAGAGAGGAGTGAATCTAAATTCTGTCCCGGTAGCTCAACTGGTAGCACATCACAATATTAATATTTTAAATGTGTAGAACTATAATTTATTCCTGTTTTCAGTGTCACATGATCCTTCAGAAATCATTCTAATATGCGGATTTGGTGCTCAAGAAACATTTCTTATTATTATCAATGTGGATTAATTTTTTTGTGGAATCTGTGACACGTTTTTCAGGTTAACCAGACGAGTGTGAACGGAGAAGCCTTTCAGTTCACTCGGCTGGTCTGTAAACTCTGCCACTGCAAAGCAAGAACAAAAAGATGGTGACCAGTTTAAGCATGACAGGTTATTAGGAAAAATGAACCAACCAAGAGTAAAGAAAAGAAGAAATGACTGACATTACATAAGATGGATGGTAAAAGGTGAAGAAAAATATTGCATTTTTCCAGAGAGGAGTGAATCTAAATTCTGTCCCGGTAGCTCAACTGGTAGCACATCACATGATGCTAGCACTGCTAATATCATGGGACCAAATCCCAGGGAACACACAAACTGACAAAAATATATACCTTCAATGCACTGTAAGTTGCTTTGTAAGTCTTTAAGTGTCTGCCAAATGCATGAATGTGAAATGTCTGAAGGAAAAGAGATGTAGAAGTACAGAGAAAGGTAAGCATATGCATGTTTGAGCACAAACTGTTCAAGCGTAACATGTTAAACAGCAGAATCGCATGCAACATTGTAAAAGTTGGTAGGAGGCACAAATAAGAACAACTACCACCTAAAGCAGGCATGGAATTTTGAAGCTGTAATGACCATCTTGTTCCCTCTCATAGGCTCACTTCGATGCTGCGATGACGTCATCGCTTTGGGAACATCTTCGGTGTGACGAATGTCTGAAGCCCTTATACCATCACGCCAATTCATTGACCAAATAGAGCTCACATCACTGTCATCCGTTTCGCAGAATTACGGTGACACGCAAGGGCTTTCGTGCTCTAAGCCCGTGGATGAGACCCCAGTTCCTTCAAGAAGGAGTCCAGATGGGGACGTTGTGTCGCCGCAAGACGATCACTACGGATGCGTCCCTTACGGGCTGGGGAGCGGTCCATCAAGGATGTCCAGTCTGTGGAGTCTGGACAGAGGTGCATCGTGGCTGGCACATAAATCGTTTGGAGATGCTAGCAGTCTTCCTGGCTCTCAAACAGTTTTTACCCCAGTTGAGGGATTGTCACGTGTTAGTCAGGACGGACAACACGACAGTTGTTTCGTACCTCAATCACGAATGTCTGAAGCCCTTATACCATCACGCCAATTCATTGACCAAATAGAGCTTAGCACCGCCCCGAGGCGCACGTAGGTGAGCTATAGCAGCGTGCTGCGCGCTATTTCATCAGATTTAATTTCCTTCATGAAGCGAATCATCTGTCGCCCGTAGGAAAGCGTTTTTCGTCGTGTTCTTAGCTATTTTCCTTCAAAAGAGCAGTTTACTCCTCTTCAGCGGACACGATGAGCTACAGGAGATGCATCGAGCC